TTTAAAAAAAGGTACTTAGTGGGGTTTATTTTCATTTGCATATTTCATAGAGGAAGAGCAGAAACCACCGTCCGTGGTGCATGAAAGTCTAGGTGTGGTTCAGTTCCTCTGCTTTTAGGCACAGGGAGATAGGACCACGTGGCAGCCATCTCCCCTGTCCACAGTCTGGGCACAGTTGGCACATGCCACTGGGCAGCAGGAACAGCAGCTTTTCTGGCCGGGTGCATGGCAGCAGGAGCCTATACAGGGCCAGCTTCATTCACGTGACTCTTTTGGGGTCTGTGGCTGGTAAGTGGATGTCAGGCAGGCAATTCTCATAAAAAGACACGTCAGGAAGAATTGTGGCGCACCTCATGACGTTCTAACCAGCGCAAGTTAGGCCCGGCCCCTTCTGACACTAAAATTCAGACTTTGTGATTCTAGAATGCAATGGCACTTCCGCCTCTCAAGTTCGGGATATGCCTCTTTTAACGAAGCCTACGGTTAGCTTTTTGGAGGTGCCATATTACACTGTTGATCGCCTTGAGCTTTCAGTCCACCAACACCTGTCTACCTTTTTGACTTGTCTGGACTTCCACTCAGTACTTGTGAAGCTATTTTGTGTATGAGACTGCATTTGTCCATGGAAAAATACAAGACTGAAAACCGAGTTATAGAAACAAGTTTTGTTTTGCATTAATGCACAAATCCCATTCCTTTGATGGGGCAGGGTGTCTTGTTCTGGAAACGTCCTTGAGATCCACTGCTTCTGCCCCTTCCTGACGTCCAGCTGTGGCAAAAGTGGACTTTTGCTGGGATTGGTTTAAACAGTTGTTTCGGATACTGCAGAAGGCTGCTCAAACACAACACAGAGAGGGAGGCTTTCACCTTATGCTTGAAGTAGGTGCTCTGAGTATCTACCAGCTAGCTCAATACACCAATTTTGCTTTATCTTCAGACTCTTGCTTACTTCCTGACCCTGTCCTCATGGACTCACTGTGATTGGCAGGCAGTGGCCCCAAGGATCAGTTGCAAATTTAATCCCATCAGTTTTCTGGTATCAGAAGTGAGATTCAGGAGGATGGTGTGCCTGACCTTGCTACCCTCCCGCCGACTGGTTTTTTTTTTGGAGGGAGGAGAAGCCAGAATGAGAGTCAAATCATCCTTTTGGGCCCTTTTCTTTGCTGGGCTTTTAGCTCCCTCCTCCATCTTAGCGAGAGCAGGGGTGGCTAAGGGCTGTGCCGGGAGATTTGAGCTTAGTGAAAGAGTTACCAAGGGGGTGCCTAGAGTGTGGTTTCATTATCCTCAAAGGGACAATATTTAGGTCTGTGCAGCTGCAGGTGTCGGGGGTGGCAGACTCAGAACGAAGGCTTTGCACTTTGGGTCTGTCTTTTGTCTTAGATGTCTCAAGAGGCCCCAAGGCCAGGTTTTGTCTTCCATGTCTTTGTAATCATCTTTGAGTCCCCAGGGGAGCCTCAGATAGGCTCTCTAGGCAAGGTCCCATAGGGAGATACAGACCTCAGGTGGAAAAGCTTAAGCCCGTCATGGAAAACTCACAAATCTCCCTAGAGCTTGGTGCTCCATTAGCCATCATGTTGAAAATATTATTCACAACCTGGCAAGCTATGTAGAGGCCTTACCATCAAGTACTTCAGAGCTTACTGTCATATGTGGAATGGATATGCTAATGAAAACCCAGGTTGGCAATGGCCAAAGGGGAGCTTCGGTGTTGACAAATTAACCTGTTTATAACGACTTATAGGAATTTCTGATTCTAAACTGGACTACTGATGTTTTCGGGGGTGGAGGGTGGAAAAGAGGTAAGAGAAAGTCGGAGAGAATTTCAAAGTTTTCCAAAAATATAAGAGGAAAGGGGATCCTTTCCTGGTTTGAAAGATTTGTGGTATTTCTAAACTTTGACTTGATGAACTGAAATCTGTTTCCTGTACCTCTCCAAACTGTGATGAAATGTGGCCAGAATGGTTATGTAAAGGCTGAAATATTCTAGTGGGTTTGGGGGTTTGCAGCCCCCTAGAAATAACGTATAACTATTATTGCTCCCTCTCTTTCTTGGAGAGGGACAGGGTTTTTATTTTTGTGTAAGGGGAGAAGGTGATTTCACTAACTAGAGAATAAACAGAACTGAAGCTACTTTGACAGTTTTATCAGTGAAGTCCGACAGTGGAAGAAGAAAATGGTTTTGTGGATCTGCACCTATACTTAAGGATCACCTATTATTAACTCTTCTCTCCACCTTGGAAAGAAAAAGGATTGTTTAAGTCAGGAAGCAAATGGAGAATAAACAAAATTTAATTTGGGAGAATTTTCTTCTGTGAATGATTTAACAGAATATTTTGGGTAAATGAAAAGCAAAGTCCCCTAAAAGAAATTGGAATAGACTATACATAGCTTCTAAGAATCTGAAAGGTAAAAGTTTTGCAGTGAATTGGTACCATACAACAAAACTCGTGTCAATTGGCAGAGATTCAGTGGAGGGAAAACGATGACGAATTCTGTAGATAGACTGGGAAACAGAGAGGCTGAGAAAGCAGCGAAGGAACCGAGGGGTCCAATCAGAGTGTCAAAAGATGGGCAATCTTGAAGAGTCAGGTTTTACATCAAAGTTCTCAGAGGGAAAGTTTAAGGAAGTAGAGAGAAGAGGAGAATGGAAGGAAAGTGGAAGAAGCTGGAGGCTGTTTGCCTGGACACAGCACGGATGTGAAGGAAGGCTTTGCATCTCCCTCCAAGCAGCTCCAAGCAGCTTTACAGAATTGGTGGAGTTTTTTAAGGCCAAAGTTAACAGAGGAAATGATTTCTTTTATGTAAGATAATTCGGAATGCCATTTGACTGGCAAGAGATGTTGTTTCATGTTGCATGGGCTAAGTCCATAATGTCGTTTATGTTATGCTCCTAATTTCTGCTTATTGCGATTTTGGGGAAATTCTGTTAATCTGAAAAATTATATTGAGAGAGCAATGGGATTGTCCCATTAGAAAACGAATTCCTCTTTTGATCTGAATGGTGTGAAATCGTGAATTTAGCCATATCCCTATTAGGGATCGTTGTCATAATGGCTAAAACAACTGTCAAGTAATTAATTGGTATAGTTTGCATTCAAATGAATAATAATAATAATAATTACTTAGCGTTCAGGAAAAGTACAAAAGGCCTTGCAAATTCTCATGGGTAAAGCTGAGTACTTGCTAGCTTTTTAGCCCCTTTGGTCTTTAGCTTTGTCAAGGTCATGAAATCTTCACAGCTGTGGGAGAAGTTGCAAAAACAACAAAAAAGTAAAATTCTGAAACCGTTCATTGGTTTACTGAGAAACTGAGACCCTTCCTCAACAACAATGCTCACAGCCAAAGCGGGGCGGCCCTCCAAGTCTGCTTAGAGAAGTCATTTACACGATCCATCTGACTACTGATTATGAAAATTAAGAAACCGCACCTGGAATAGCGTGCATTGACGTTGCATCTTTGAGCCAACTTAGTCCTAGACCCAGTTTTAAAGATTTTATTTTTAACCCCAATTGCCTCCCCAAATCTATATCACCTTGGGGCTTAACATGCAGCCTAAGATGTGGCTTTCTGCCATGCTAGCTCCAAGACTTACAGTGGCCGGCATCTTCCCTGTTTTGAGTGAACTATCGTGTATTCATTGCAGGTGTGAAACTCCAGTGTTACCAGGTTCTTAATTTCGGTTTTTGTTTTGTTGCTAGGCAATGGGGTTAAGTGACTTGCCCAGGGTCACACAGCTAGTGAGCGTCAAGCGTCTGAGGCTGGATTTGAACTCAGGTCCTCCTGACTTCAGGGCCGGTGCTCTATCCACTGCGCCACCTAGCTGCCCCTTACTAACTGATATTGTAACAAAAACAACTATACCTTGCTCTAAGCTATGCCTCTTGGAGTTGTAATTTGAATTGCTGTTTAAATTATTCCTACTCCAGTAATCCATCATTCAAGGGAAATGCCATGACTTGCTCAAAGGGGGTGTGATCTGAGGAATACCTCCCGTGGATATAAATGAATGGGAAGATTGCCTTACAAAGGCAATAGTAGCATCCTCCTGACTCAGTTTCCCCATTGTGCTATTACTTTTCTGTTTTGTTGTTGTTTTGTAGCCAATTGGGGTTAAGTGACTTGCCCAGGGTCACAGAGCTAGTAACACGACAAATGTTTGGTCTGAGGCCAGATTTGAACTCAGGTCCTCCTGACTTCAGGGCTGGTGCTCTATCCACTGTGCCATCTAGCTGCACCTGCTATTACTTTTCTGAACAGGAACATTTTCCACCTGGTTAATCCTTAGTCTACCCCGTGAATAACGTGGAACTTTTGTTGTATGACTGGCTGTTCCAAAAGGTTTTACCTGAAATCAAAGAGAGCCAAGGGATTCCTCCCTGTTTTGGCTATGATAGGTCAGTCTGTTCCCTTAGACTCAGAGGAGGAAACAGTCTTGATATCGTTAAAACCATGCCTCTCTTTCTCCCTTTCATATTAAATTCTGTAACTATGTTAGGTGAATTGTAAAAGTTTTTATAATGAACCTTGTTGCTATGAATTACTAAAACATCTCTGAGTTACTACAATGGGATGCAAGTATAAAGGGCTGTCTGTCATTTTTGCTTCTGCTCCCTCATCAATCAGTTATGAAGCTCACCATCTCCTCACTCACCGGGTTCAGTTATATATTCATGGATAAGATCAGGTCCATAGTGTATGACATCTTTTTGGATTGTATGAGGATAATCTATATCCCAAAAGGACACACACACACACACATCACACACAATGTTGTGATGTGAAAAGATGTAAAAGTTTTCATTTCTAATGGAGCAGTAAACTAATAAATTTCACTTTGAGAAAAGCAACAAGATTAGATTGTTTCCACCTGAGAACTAAAATACTCATTGGCTTCCAAGTGCTTTTTTTCTTAATTATTATTAAGAACAATGACAAAGGGTCAAGTAAACAGGACCGTCTTAGATGATATTTTCACAAAAATTTTTTTACTTTGGAGGTAAATGAGAACAAGACAGAGCAAAGTAAAGTACTGACCTTCCTTCAGGTCCCATCTGAACCCATACAGATTAATTTAAACACACACACAGCCTAAAATATGCAGATTTTGTTAATTGTTTATAAATTATTAAACTAGACCTCAGATGTCACATGTAAAATTAAGGTGTAAAGAAAATTTTAAATTACGTCCTCCCTCCCCCCTTGAAGTCTCTCCTTGAAGACTTTTACAAGTGCAGGCCTCTGGGTCCTGTTTAAGATTCCTCCTCCAGCCTACAGCTTGAATCGTCTGTACCACGCACAAGATTCAGGCAGGAGAGAAGGAACCAATGATGTGTGCCTGAAACCCTCCAGACTTTCAGACAAGCTGCAGGCAGCTTAACCTGACGTGCTTTCTATGGCGCTGATAATTGTGTGGCTTTTACCACATGAAGGTCAGTGTGATTAGGTTTTGTAAGGCCCCACTAAATCACACTAGGTCTTATTACATGCAGATTTAGGCAGCATTAAAGTGGTTTGAAACCCGGAAAAGGACCTACCAGAAGAAACGCTTCTGCCAACCTGCCCTAGAAATAAGGTCCATTCCAGGTACTAGTAAAGAGACTAAAATACTGATTCAGGAAAGAGTATCTTTGAGTTTAATTAGATTAACTGGATAGTTTATGGGCAATAGTCAAGGGCAGTTACCTTTGATCCAGAATTTCCAGGGGAGAATGCTTCCCAGAAGCAGATCACTTCATGAGACAGACAGCTCTTCGAGGTCCCAGAGCTGCACGAGGCCTGATGAGCCAGCCCTTCTTTTTCTCCTCTCCCCCTCAACCTATGTTTCTGGCTTCTTTGTACAGCCTTTTTACTCCTCATTTTTCTCTTAGCACACTCACCCACGCCTAATTAAAGACTAACAACCCCCCCCCCCAACAAGGCCACAGAGCTGCTGGAGCCATCGAGCTTTTCCCACTGGCTCTGAGAACTGAACTGCACTTCTCCAGTTCTGAGCAGTTTGACATCCGACCCGGGGCTCCGCGTTTCCCCTGAGGCTAGCACGAGAAGCCTCCTTGGACTCCACTAAATCTAGATGGAGACGAACTTCACCTGCAGCAGGCTTTTGTTCCATGCTGGGTCTAAGGCCGCTGCGGGAAAAGGAGAGGAAGCTGAACTGGGCTTGACCTGGATTGGGCCGCCGGCTCCCCATCATCTAGATGTTCACCAACCTTTCTTTTAAGAAGTTTGCCTGGAATCCAAGGCCAACTGTCCACGTCTGCAGGCTGCATTCTGTTTCCTTTTCGAAAACCTTCTTCAGTCTTATGGTTCCTCTCATGCTACACAGCATTTCCAAGAAAGATCCCTCAAAACGGTCAGGCCGCCATCAGCTCCTTCACTGAGCGCCTGATGCTGCAGGGCATCTGCTCAGTAGCCACCACACACGAAGCAGGGTGCCACGCAGTATGGACACAGATGAAACCTCAGCGCCTACCTGCAAAGAACTTACTTTTTATCTGGGGGAGAAAAGTACGAACAAATGAAGCAGAAAGGGAACTGAAGGGAGGACTGACAGCCCAGGAGACCCAATGCTCTATGGAGAGGTGGCAGGACAGGAGCAGGAGGTAAGAGAGGGCGAGCAGCTCAGACGAGAAGTGGCTGCACCAGTACCAGAAGGTAAGCAGAGTCTCACGAGCAGGCAACGGTCACTAGCCCAGGGAAGAAGAGCTGGAAAAGAGACATGAAAGTCCTATGAAGCAAGGCTAGAAAAAGAGGTGGCAAAGGAAGAAACAGCCAAAGGGGTACTGAAATCTACCTTACCCTGCGGGAAAATAGATCAGAATGCAGGCCGTCCTGGGGTGGGGGAGGGGAGGGATGGGGAGAAAATCTGGAACTCAAAATCTTGTGGAAGTAAATGTTGAAAACTAACAATAAATTAATTAATTAATTAAAAAAAGAAAAACAGGTGGCAGCTGGTGTGGCATGCCCCAAGTGCTGGGCTCAGGGGTTTGCTTTGATCCGGTGGCCCTCCATGGGTGTAACTCCAACCGCACTCACCCTGGAGGAGGACCGCGCTCAGTTCACAGTCCTCTGCTTGGTTGGCTCTACACTGTTAAACCACAGCTCATGAATGCCTACCATTGCCCCCCCATAAGACTGGTGCTTGCTCTTCCACAAACACCCAGAGTCAGCTGGGAGAGTAGGCCCACAGTGAGCTCACAAGCAGAGGAGAGAGGCAGCAGACAGGGCCTCTTCTCCACTACTTCACTCGATCTCATCATCTCCCATAGCTTTAATTACCCTCCCACCTTCCCTAACACTGTGGAGGCCAACATCATTTTCCTGGTTCCTCAGACTCAAAACCTAGGAGGGCCTGGATTCCAATCTCTCACCACAACCCCTGCCCCATCCAATATGGTGCCATGGCCTGTGGATTTCACCTCTGCAGCATCTAGCCCGGCCCCTTCTCCCCCCTTCCCCCCCCCCACCCTGGTGCTGGCCGTCACCACCTGTCTGCCCCAAGGGCTCTCCCCACGCAGTCCTCCCTCCATTCAGCCACCACAGTGATTTTCCTAAAGCCCACGTCTGTCGCACCCCTACACTCCAGGGCTCCCCCTCTCACTCCAAGATCAAACACAAGATGCCGTTTGGCATTCAAAGCTCTTCATTGCCTGCCCCCTCCCCATTTCCCCCATCCATTCTTTGATGCAGTGACCCTAGCCTCCTGGCTGCTCCTTGAGCAAGATGCTCCACTTCTCATTGGCTCTGGGCATTCCCCAGCCTGGAACGTGCCCTCCCTCCTCCACACCAACTACTGACCTGCCTGGCCTCCTTTGAGTTCCAACTAAAATCTCACCTCCTACAGGAAGCCTTCCTTCTGTGAATTATTTCCTATTTATCAGATTGTGCAGTACAGTGACTCTAAATCAAATTAAACTCAGAGACTTCTCAAGGTGGAAGCAATCTCTCCAGAAGGGCCAGGCACACAAAATGGAATGAGATTATATACCCTAACACAAAAATCCTCCACCCACCACTATCCCTTACTCCCATTAGCTGGGAGGCGGGCTTACATTCTAGGCGGGAAAGAAAATCTTCCCTGAAGACAAAGAACAAGGAAACAGGGAATAGCCAATCCAAGCACACATGTCCTTATTTGGCGAATCTAAGGCTGATGTGGCAGTGGTGTGACAAATTCCTATAGGTTTAGGTCATTTAAACTCATGGCCTGGGTTGGTTCTCTCAGAGCCCATCTCTAATTTCGAGACAGTCTTTTCATCACCACAAGAAGTCTTCACGGAGGTTATGTCTCATTCAGTCCCTCCTCTTATTTCATATTACCTGAAGACTTCTCACCCTGCTGCTGATACAACTCATCGACCGGTTTGTCGCCTTCTCTTAGGCTTTCGTACCGCACTCTCTCCTCCACAATTTTTATTTCGTCGTCATTCCCCTCCGATCTATTCCCTCTTCCCAGGTTCCCTGGAGCCCTTAAAACTCTTAATTGAACAGATTCAGAATAAGCAGCAGATTGTATTCTAGCAAAAGAGACAGACACCAAACAGTTTAGTGTACAAGGACCACACAGGAGGCACAGTGTAATAACTACAACAAACAAAAGAGCCGAATGTATTGTTGACTTCCATCTATCCCACATAGATGTAATAGGAGATAATTGTTGCTGAATTTCTTCCATCCATGTAGCTGCCTCATGCGGGTGATGGATACTGGTTACTACCTGCTGTGATTTATTTATATAGAAACAAGAAGTATTCACCACCATACATACACCCCCTTCAGCAGCCAATAAATAGTCCAATGCTATTCGATTATCTAAAACTTCATGTGCTAAAGAGCCCAAGGATTCCTGTAAATTCTGCAGACCTGCGGCTGTCTCGTTAGCCATTACTTCTATAGTCTTAGTAATATTAGTTAAAACGGTCTCATGGTGGATGTATCCTACCCAGGGTATAAGGAATGCTGTGGTTTTCCTAATCCACCAGAGAAAATTGTCCCATGAACTCCGCCTTAGTGTGGTGTAGATTCTGGCCAGAAGAAGTAGTATACCCATATAATTGCATGCCAGGATTAATGACACCTAATGTATACTGACCATAGTTTTTGTAAGGACTCACACACTGGAAAGCATTGAGAGTAGATTAGGCCAGGCTTCATATACAATTAAAGAGGTTGTAGATCTACCACAGACAAATATATATCCTGATGGGGCACACGCTGAATTTAGTCTAGTGGTTTTTAGTAAAGATACAACATTCGGAGCCCAGATATTGGATGTATTATGAGTGGGGAGAAAGAAAGGATGTAAATCCATTTGCTTCAATCTTTGACACACCTGCCACTATGGTGGTTTTGGCTTGGGGAGTTTCATAGTAATATTCCCAAAACTATTCCCTTGTACTACAACAGTGGAGCTGGGGGACCGATAACTACAGTCAGTAAGAAATGTACATACTACACCAGCATGACCAAAGTGTGTAAGACTTTTAGTACAACAGTCACACACAACATGGGTATAATTAGGAGGGGTAAAGGTAGTAATGTTTCCATTCACACAAATACAGGTGAAAGGTCCAATTTGTGCTGTTCCCTCTAAACTTATTAATATAGGACCATAATGCTGTGACTTACTATAAGTCTTATTAAAGAAAGAGTATCCAGTATCAAAACAAAGTATAGATCAAAAAGTATCTCTGTCTGGTTGTGCTTGGAATAAAGGTGTAGCATATCTTGTGGAGGGATATGGGTCCTCTGCACTGTGGGGGTCCATTTCTCACCTGAGGATGTATCTGACATACCCAGCAATCCTGCGGTCCAGTATTGGCCACCGCTTGTCCCAGTCGTATAAGGGAATTTTGCTGCCACTCTGTCATTACGGGGGAAATTAGAGCCACAAGCCCTAGAAGATACTGTTCGAAGTTGTTTGCTGAAAGTAACCAGAGAGTGGGGGCTGAGCTAGCAGGAAGTCCAAAACCTAGAAGAGAAATAACTAAGAAACTACCTGAGGGAGTTTTCATGGCCTTGTATCCTGATTATACCACTGGAGGAAGGGGGAGAGATTTCCTGAAGAAAAATACAGCTCCTAAGCGAACGGAGATGCGTGACACAAATAGAAATAATGGAGTGACAGCTACAAGAATCAAACAGCCCCAAACACCTCCAACCTTTTTCCTTCATGGGTCGTGTGGCCACCCTGCAGGGGGTCCCCACCACAGGTGCAAGCCTCAGTCTCTGGGGGTGTCCAGATGCGACAGTCCATACAGCAGGGGGATCCACCGGCCCTTTAACTCTCATGTGGTGAGTTCCCCCACGCTCCTGAGTCCTTATAGCAGTGTCTGCAGTGAGGAGAACCTAGGATGGCCCTTCCCACCAGGGAGTGAGTTTCTCCTCCTTCCACGTCCGGATCAGCACCCAGTCTCCAGGCTGGAACTTATGCACTGGGAATCCAAGGGGAGGGGGTCTGGGCCACCAGGCCTTTGTTCTGTAAAATATGAAGGTGCCTTGCCAGACTCTGTACATACTCTCGAAGGAATCGGTCCTTACACTCAAAGACTGGATCTCAACTCTGGCCATTTCCCACCCTTGGGTAAGGGTGGCCATATAGAAGCTCATAAGGTGACAGGCCAATTTCCCTACGAGGTTTGGTTCTGATCCTAATTAGAGCTAAGGGCAAACATTTAGTCCAAGGCAACTGAGTTTCTAAAGTCAATTTTGTGAGTTGTCTTTTGATTTCCTGGTTCATTCTCTCCACCTTTCCTGAGGAGGGAGAGTGCCAGGGAGTGTGAAACTCCCAGGAAATTTCCAAGGCCTGCCTAAGAGACTTGAGAACTTTGGCAGTAAAATGCTTCCCCTGGTCCGAGTCAATTCTCTTCACCATCCTGTATCTAGGAATGATCTGTTCCAATGAGACTTCAGTAGCTGCCTGAGCAGGAGCCTGCGACCACCCATGAGGTTAAGTGTTCGAGGCGGCCAACAGGAGGCAACTCGGTGAAGTCCACCTGTATGCTTTGGAAAGGTCTCGTACCCGGCGGTCTGCTTCCCTTCAGTGCTGGGCACTGAGCTGACTTGTTTGTCCTTCGGCAAACCAGGAAGCCGTCCACGAACTGTCGAGCTAGGGCATATAATCCGAGAGATACAAACCAAGTCAAGACCACAGCCCCCAGGTTCTGGAAGTCCCAGTGACTGCCTTGGTGTAAGTGTTGCAATACTTGCCTCGTACCTGCTCTGGTCAGTACCTCTCGACCATTGGGTAGAAACCATTGTCCCTGTTTGTCTTCCTGTGCTCCAAGTCCTCGAGCTTCCTCTTTTTCTTCCTGAGAAAAGGGTGGGAAGGAAGACTGGGAGGAAAAGAGGGGAACAGGACCAACATTGGGTTACCTTGCTTAAGTCCTCCTCCTGCCCTCCTGGCCTTTTCATCGGCAAGGCGGCTTCCCCTGGTCTCAAAAGACATTCCTGGTTGATGCCCCTTGATGCCAGTTGATGACTGCTACAGCCTCGGGTAATGGTGAATTCTCCAAAACTCAGGCCACCAATGTTGTATGGGCGAGTTCTTTGCCTTTGCTGTTTATCATTCCTCTTTCCTCCCAAATTTTACTAAACACATGTACTATACCCCATGCGTATCTAGAGTCCATATATCTGTTCCCTTCCTGACCTTCCAACAACTTCAAGGCCTGATTTAAGGCATAGAGTTCACAAGTTTGAGCTGACCAGATCTTGGGCAAGCTCCCTGCCTCAACCAGGGAGTTTTTAATCTCCATCCACAATAGCAAACCCATTCTGCCTCTTCCCTTCTATGACTCTGGAGGACCCATCTATGAACAGATTTATTCTCCCAGGAATGGGAGACTCTTGAAGATCTTCCTTTACTTTAGTCTGGTATTCTATTAAGTCCAAACAATAACGTTCAATATCACCATGTGTCTCAGGACTAGCAGTTAAAAAGGAGGCTGAATTTATATTATGATCCTGGGCTAATACTAAATCATCCCTCTCTACAAGTATGGCCTCATATTTTAATATCCTTGAGTCAGTTAGCCATCTGCCTGCCTTCTGGCTGAGAACAGTCCTCGCCTGGTGGGGACACTCATTATCAAACTTCCCCCCAAGGTGAGCTTTCTGCTCTCTTCGACCAGTATAGCAGTAGCAGCCATGGCTTGAATGCAAGTAGGCCATCCTCTGGCCACTGAATCTAGAATTTCAGACAGGAAAGCTACAGGTCATCTTTGCCCTCCTCTTATTTGTGCCAGGACTCGAAGGGCTACCCCTTTTCCCACATTTACAAAAAGATGAAAAGGCTTTCCCAAAGATGGTAAAGCTAACACAGGAGGAGAGAGCAGGACCCTTTTCAGTTGCTCAAAGCTTTGACTACTTCCTTCATCCCAATCTATGGGATCTGGTCCCTCATCCAATAAATGTCAATATAACGGTTTAGTGAGAGCCGCATAAGAATCTATCCAGTTTCTACAATACCTCACTAGTCCAAGAAACTTGTGGACTTCCCTCTTAGTCTCAGGTCTGGGGGTTTGAGTAATCCCCTTCACCCTGGCCGGATCTAATTTCTTACTTCCCTCGCTAATTAAATGTCCCAAATATTTAACTTCCCTTTTCCACAAACTGTGATTTTTCTTTAGATACTCAGAGTCCCTGTTCCCCCAAGAAACTTAGTGACCTGACCACAGCCTCACTAGCCTTTCCCCTCTTGTCCCCCATTATCAAGAGGTCATCCACATACTGGATGATTTTAGCCCCCTCTAAAGCACCCTCAAGTGCTTGCCCAAACAGGTTAGGGGACTCAGTGTAACCTTGAGGTAGTACACACCAGTGACATTGCTGTTTCTCATTCAAAGGCAAAAATGTTTCTACTCTCCAAATCAAGGGGACAACTCCAAAAGGCACCTTTTAGGTCTATTACACTAAACCATCTACTAGAACTGGGAATCCTCCCCATTATAGTATAGAGATCAGGTACCACAGGGTGGGAGGGGAGTACTACCTTGTTAATTTCTCTCAGATCCTGCACTAATCTGTAAGACCCATCTTTCTTCTTCACCGGAAACACTACAGTGTTAAAGAGAGAAATACATGGTTCTAAGAGCCCTGCTTCCAGTAGACCCTTCATAACTGGCTGTAGTCCTCTTCTTCCTTCTAACCACCATAGTGGAGTCTTTTAATGTTATTCTTATGAGGGTACTGTTAACTCTCCCATGGTTATTAGGACCAGCCCATACTCTGGAATTAATTTTTGCTTCCTCTTCCTCCTTCATTAGGGCTACCTTCAGGGGTATTATTCGAGGACCCCTAGGGACTACATCGATTGACAGTTTCGTAATTAAATCTCTTCCTAGTAAATTGACTCCTGCCTCAGGAACCAGAAGTAGCTGTCCCAATGCAGTAGCACCCTGAGAATCCAATTGTAAA